TTTCTGTCTCGTCAGTGCTGTTCGCGATTACGCGACTACATCTTTTCCAGTCAGTTCATGATTTATGACTGCACAGAACGTATGAAAGGGAAATAATCGTTTTGGATACATTCGTCTGACGGAACTTTACAGTCGTTGTTAGACGACCCTTGCCCATCCCTCTCTCCCCCGTCCTAGCCCAGACCGATCATATTGCCTATTGGTCACGGGTGAATGAAACGGAAGAGACATGAGGCAGCATCGGTGAGGTAGACTAACTTTGTCAAACGCGTCCAACCGAACGAACTAACATTTCTTGTCAACGATACGTAGATATTTTGTAACAGAATATCTATAAAAGCTGTTCCAAGAGCCAAATATTTCAGGGACTGATAACTTTTCTATCCGTTTATTTCCGCTTTCAGCGAACTGGATGCTTTTATCTACGATGCGAATGTGCTGGATTATTGGGCATCAAAAGACGAAGGCTGTAAGCTCCGGATTGTGGGTAACTTGTACGCCATGACTGGTTATGGAATCGGATTTACCAGAGGAAACAAGTGGTTGGAAAAAGTCAACTCACGTATTTTGGATTATCAGAAAAACGGTACGCACGGTACATTGATCATTCCCAACAGGCTCTTAATAACGAGCTGACCATTGAGTTCATATTGTTAACCGATATTATCCAATGCCACAGAGACTGACAGGAAAATTTAAACATTCGCTGACCGGCTGCAAAACCAGAGGTGCAACCAGCTTTTCAGTGTCTAACGATTGTAGGAACCATATCCAGGAAATATCACTTGTTCACATGTTTCCGGGATATCAGTAACACCAACACAATTTGTACGGCGTAGGACCAACCGTTTTAAAATCCAACGCTCTGCTCAGTTCTGAACGGAATAAAATTCAAATCGATCCACCATTCGCATCGGTAGTATCAAAACACGCTTCTAAGTAGACTGCGTGTATTCCATTGGTTTTTTTCCAGGCATATCACCTTTAGAATCGGAAACTCCACCAGTTTTGAAGCGGCTATTGAAAATGGACAGTTCAAATTCGAAAACCATACACGCAAAAAGTTAGTCAGCCAGCCTCTAAGTGAACAATTTATATCATCAATATTTCCCACTTTTACTGCACCTCTATTCACTACAAATGAACTTTCCATTTGCAAGTGAGAGCAAGCACATCGGTCAGATGAAACTTCGTTATAGTACACTTCCTTTTTTTAACGGCCAATCAGGAACTGGGGTGGGCAATCACCAATACAGGCCACAAAACGAACTAGGTCATGCTTCACATATCTTCTTTCAATCGGTGGATCAAAGTATTACTGGACGCATACAGTGTAGTAATTGACATTCATCTCAGTAAGTCTTGTTCATCATTGTTTGGGAACTAAACCCTACAAGATGGGACGACTCCAGGAGGTAATGTCTTAACCTGACAGTTTATTGAAAACACGTGATTTACAACTCAAATCATCTTTGAAACCATTCGTGAAAAGTATCAGTTCATGACCACATAAGATATGGTCTAGTGTTTAAGACGTCTTTCAGGCACTCCTATGGCCAGATACAGAGTCACTGAAACATTTAAGTTTTCTCCCAGTACATTGAAATATGAAATTTTAGTGGATGCACGCTATTGAACATCCCTTTGTTTGCATAAAAGCACCTGATTGAAAACCGCGACATTTTGGATTGAGAACTGCCTGTGCGCCAGTCCACAAGGCTGATGTTCAACTATGTTGACTACATTTTAGTAAGGTGAGCGTAGAGCTTGCGGAGAACCGAAGGAAAAAAAATTCAACGAACAGTTTATTGTACAAGACAGTTGTGTGATCTCATTTGCAAACCAGATTATATAGATAAACCTCATCCATGAAAGATTCTCACAGAAATATCAAAAGACAAGCAATATAGCAAACAAGCTTGCTTCGTAACTTCGTCTTCATGCATTCACAGTTATGTTTGTGTTTATATATAACGTAGAAATAAACGTGATTGGTCCATTGAGGTTAAATGTGAAAATACGATGTCTATCAAGTTTAATTGGAGGGAGTTGAGAAAAGGGATTGAAGAGAGGGACCAAGGTCGATTCTGTAAAAAGGTTCATCGGAAATTTTCAGAATCGGCCTTGGTCCCCCTTCCCTCCACTACCTTCTCTCAAATCTCTCCGATTAAACTCGATAGACATTGTTATATTCAGACATTCAACCTCAATAGACCAATCACATTTATTTCTACATTATATATAAACACACACAACTGCAAATGCCAGAAGACGAAGTCACGAAAGCAAGCTTGTTCGCTTAATTATTTGTCTTTTGATATCATTCATCCTAGAAAACGAGGTTCAAGAGTGGCGCACAGCTTATTTCAAGTTCTCAACTAATGAACTCTGCCGCGCTGCTCCGAAGGTTCTGCTGCTAAAACCAGATTCATTTCAACTGGTAAATTTTTATCACTACTGATTAAAACAGTTCCATAATTTGGACGGCAATTGAGGTAATCTGTGACACAATAAATGTAACCATAAATCGAGAATCCGGCCTTCCAGGATATCAGTTCCAATGCTTTGGACTGCATACTTGATCCAACCTTTAAGGTTTTATGTATAGATCATAGGTGAAAATATCAGTAGCACAGATTTTCCCCAAATTGACACACTTACGGGGTTGTCCAAACCAGGGTACCTGTTTTCTGTGGTTAGTGTTATATTTGAAAAAGGCCAGTAGTGTTGTGCAAGATGTCTGCCTCAGCGACATTTCTTTCGCATATCGCCAGTTACTTCATGCGAATTACAAAGAGACATTATATGTTTATGGGGTATGGTGACAAATAGATTTACGCATTCGCTCCTAGTACTTGTGTATTCTAATTATTACTTTATCGCACATAACGGATGGCGCAGTGGTTTAGTAGCTTCCGAAGGCGTGCTTTGGACCCTGTGGTCCTAGGTTCGAGCCCCGCCACCGCCACCCAACTTTAGTGGTAGGTGGCTGTGCTGTCGTCCTGTTCAGTACCACAGCTCACCTATCGCTGTCGTGTGAACAATTTTTATGGATCTCGCCTTTGAATCTATTTGTCACCATACCCCATAAACATAAATAATGTTCATTTGTAATTCGCGTGAAGTAACTGGTCATATGCGAAAGAAATGTCGCTGCAGCAGACATCTTGCATAACACTACTGGCCTTTTTCAAATTTATTCGGGGAAATCATTGCTTCAAGTTAGTATTATAGACTGTGCCTGGTTGAATTGGACAATGATTTTGAATAGTTCTTTTCATATTTTGAAGACAAGAATTTTCCGTGTTTTATCTGGGATATACCAATACTGAGCACTTTCATAGTTCTAGTAAATGAAAAGCTGAGAGCCATATGTGGAATTCATGGAATTAATGAGCAGAGCACAAAAATCGTGTGCGATGAGACAGCTGCTCCATTCGAATATGACTGGGCCATTCGTGAGTTGTGAATTACGCAACCCTTGGTAACCCTGAAGCACCTTCTTCGATAAGAGGAGTCGAAGCCTTTTGATCAGGGGAAGAATATCCGTGCGTATTTACAATAGCCAAACGGAACAAGACATCAGCTTACTGAATTAATTCATCCAATGCACCTTATTCCGGAGATGGATTCCAAAGCGCGTTGTGCATCGTCAAGTGATTGCTATTTTTCTCCACAAGTTATCAAAAGAAACATCCTTTTGGTTATTTTTGCCACATATAGTAAAATCTAGGGGTAACTATATTGATGATGGGTTTATAAACGGTTAAAATATGCCTTTTTCCTGCACTGGTAACAAGGTGTAAGGAATGACCGATTGTTTTCAATGGCTTCTCAACATAAGCCTCCACATGACAAAACAGAACAGCGGGTTAGGCCACTGGCTTATCGATCCAAAATAGCTGGAATGTAGAATCAACAAAGATAGAAACCATTGCCATACAACTTCTAGCTACCGAGCAGGTGTGATCTTGGAACTTCGGAAGCTTGTCGTGAATAGAACAAAAGTTCAAGTGGACCCATATGCCATCAGATGAACGAGTCAGAAGCATGGTGTAAGGTAGACCTCTTCTCTCACCAGATATCTACTCCAAACTAAACACAGTCCAGCTAACCTCCCAAAATATCGAGCCAAGAGAGAATTGGCCTTTAAATAGACCAATGGCTAGAGCAGTTTACCGTTTTGACACGTCTATGACCCCGAAGACCAATCAACTGTTCCCCAATAGTTTGATCTGAAAGGATCCAAAATATCACGGTATAGAGACGCTAATCACTAAACTATTTGTATTGTCCCGCAGAAGACATTGAGAACAGCAGTGTGGCGAATAGGCACGCTTTCAGTTAATTGTAATCATGCCAATACATAACATTAAATATGATCATCAGCTTATGGAGTGGGATGATAAATTACAGTCCTAATGGTTCACATTTGGCTCCAAATGTGCGCGCGTATGTGAAATTGATTCGGCGTACACTCATTCACCTGTTCTTGTGAAAATGGATACATTGGCCGCACGAACAGGACCTAAGCTGATCGTGTTTGTAAACACCACCCGACATGGCTGAGGTCATGAACAATTAGGTATGTTCAACCCTCGTTGAAACGATGTGGAAAACGCATTTGAACCTAACTACAAGGTTTAAGTAGGCAATCAAGAGCAGTGGAGTGTCGCATCCTCCGCGTGATTCCAACCGTAAGTATTCCGATTCAAATGCGTTTTCCACATCGTTTCAACGAGGGTTGAACA